TCGGATTCTCCAATCGGGTCATATTCCTCGTGAGAAAAGTTTCAACTTCTTGTGGTCCAATAATATTCTCTTTTGAATTTAACAAAATGAGATGATTTGAACCTGTCCCATTTTTCTTAAGTAATGCATTGACTAATTGAATCGTGTTCATACTAATATGACCCAAAAATAAGACTTTTTGTAGTCTGCCCGTAATGCATCCCTTCAGTTACTTGTCTCCTTCCCGCTCTTAAGTTTCAAAAATTATGACATCATTTCATAAAATTAATGATTCATTTTATTGTTTTCTTTCTAATTCAAGATTACTTTCTATAACATAAATCAATCACTTCATGAACCACTCTACTCAAATAACGTGAAGTGGCAACAAAAATTGAGACCAAAAGGACCCAATTAACATAAATACTTACCCCTTTGGTTGGTTGGTTGGTGAGTTATAAAATTAGTTTGGTTGAATGAAGATAATTTAAGCACTCTTTGATAATAATTTCGTTTTTCATTTTTTATTTTTAAAAATTATGCGCACTTCCTTGCTTCTTTTTCAAAGACATTTAAATTTTCAAGCAAATTTCAAAATAAAAAACAAATTTTAATATAAATTTCGAAAACATATAAAAAAAAGTAGATGATCAGATAAATATTCACATAAATAGAAATAGTGTTTACAAATTTAATTTTTGAAAAATATAAAAAATAAAGTACTTATAAAATGAAAGCTTAAATATTAACATTAAAACTAAATTGAAATGATGCAGTTAAAATACTTTAAATTTCAGGGACTAAATAAAATAATTAATTATATTGGATCTACCAGGTGCCCAAAAGGTCCATTATGCCCACGTGAAGCTAAGTCGTCAGCTTAGAAAATTTTGGTGTGATAATTACACTTGTGCCCCCACTTAGATTCATTGACTAATGTAGAAGCCAATAATAAAGGAAATTTATGATAACAATTTAATAACTTTGGTGTGGGCCTTTGAGGGAATAGATGAAGGCCAACATCATTTCAACCCAATATTTAATGAATATCGAAGCTGATTCATTCAACATTGCCCAATAATAATGCATCACTAAATTACATGTATTTAAATTCTAAAAAGAGTTGGTTAAATCTCGATCCCTATAATTTGAGTTTAGTTTCAATTTGATCTCTTTCAATTTAAAAGTTTCAATTTAATTATTATGATTTGAGATTAGTGTCAATTTAATTCATATAGTTTAATTAAACATAACAAAATAATACAACATGTGGAGATAGAGATTTGAACTCACGATTTTTTAGTTGGAGACTGGTAATTTAACTAATTGAGTTATGTTAATGTTGGTCTTGAAATATTTTTTACCCACTTAAAAGATTCTTAGATTTTTCTCTATTTTTTACTCAAATCAAAACTCAAGGAAAAAAAAAAGGAAACGAACATGTTATAGTGTAGGTAGACATGACAATAGAGCATTAGTGACCTAGGGATTAAATCGAAAGCTTTTAAGACTATAAAAACCAAAATAAAATAAATCTAAATCATAAGGATCAATTTGAAACTGGAAACCATAAATTGAAAATCAATCAAAACTTTAAAGAATAAATTTATTACTCAATTAAAATTGTTTGCATTACTTTTACACCAAATTACATGGATTAAATTAGAAGTTTTTAAGACTATCAAGACCAAAATGTAATTAATCCCAAATTATAAGAATCAAATTGAATCCCCACTTGTACATGTTTTATTAAAAAAAATAATAATAAACTTAAAACTAAATCAAAAATAATAATAAACTTAAAACTAAATCAATTCAAACTTTAAAGTCCTCTACAAAAAAACAAAAACAATAATAATAATAAAAATAAAACTTTAAGGACTAAATTTATTATTTAATTAAAATTGTTTCTCTTACTTTTTAACTTATAAATAGATTATTAATAATGGCCATTTTTCTTTGATATATTTCAATTCGATAAAATATTTATAACTTTTTTAGGAGGAAAGTTATAAGTTTGAATCTTACGCTTATATTTGAATTATAATATTAGAAAAATAGATATATAATAATTTATACTTTATATCTCAAAATTATTCCCTCTATGGATTGCATTATTTCTAAGATTTCGAGACATAATGTCATTATCAAATAAATATTTTTTATTATAATATTATGTCACGAATGAGGGGGAGAAATTTTAAAACTTCAACCTAAAGGAGAGATACTGGAAAAATTTCTAGTCCTCTCGTAGCAGGGAGAAGTTCCATACTACTCCTACTTAAATTGTGTCATGTGTAGAGTTCTATCATTATCTAAATAAAAATATTTTTAATTTTTATGTGGGACACGTGTATTTAAAGGTAAAATTGATACACTTTATCTCACTTCCTCTCTCTTGAATTAATGATATATTCTCTCCCTTATTAAATATTATTATATAAATAAAAATATTTTTAATTTTTAACGAATTTCTTCATTTTTTTCCTTTTTCTTTTTTTGTTAACATCTTTAACTTTCGTTGTTTAGTATAATAAAGATATGAATTTAAACCCACAACTTTTTGTTCAGAATATATACCTCAATCAATTAAGTTATACTAAGTTTACATTTGATAGCTTCACTTTCTTTTCTCATTATCAACATTATTTCAGTTTTTTCTCTTCTTTCAAATCAATAAATTTTATATTCTGAACAATTTTATATCTTCTTTCGTATTTTTATTTACAGACTTCTAAAATAAGAAAAAGGAATGTTTATTTATTTTATTTTGATATTTTTATTTTGGTTGTAATTTTATTTTTAAATAGTTAAATAATTATTTTGTATCATTTAATAAATATTATTATTACATTTTATTTATTACCAATTTTGATTTTTTGTAACTTTATTTTAAAATAAAAACAAAAACTTAAAAAGTAGATACGTAGCAAAACTTAAAAATATTAAATCCAACATATTTTGTTTGTTATCCAGATATCCATTTTTTTAATAGACGTACAAATATTGAATAATAAAACATGAATAATATATTTATATATATTGAAAAAATATGTCTATAACGTATTTAAAAATTTTATTTTGATGAATTATATATTCTTAGCTAGTCATTGATTTGAAACAAAAATTCAATTAACCTAAAATTCAACTTTGTATGAAAGAAAAAAAGAAGAAAAAAGAAAGAGTATTTACTATTTATAATCAAATAGTCAAAATTCACAAAAAAAAATGATGAGAATTGAATAGAAAAATAATTATAAAAAACAAGAAAAATAAAAAATAAATAGAAAAGTCATACATAATTTAAATAGTGAAGTTCAAAACATTAAGAAAAAGAAACAATAAATTTAGCTTGAAGTGAGAGAAATTCAAAAATTGTAAATAAAGGATCAATAAGTGAAGATGTAAATAGCACAAAGAGATAAATAAATTAGAAAAGGGAAAATAAATAATAACATCTAAAATATTTAATAAGAGAGAATGTATGGGAAAACAAAAGGTGAGATACGGTTGATTAATTTTATTTATATAATAATATTTAATAAAGAAGAGAATACACCATCAATTCAAGAGAGAAAAGTGAGATAGAGTATCAATTTTACTTTTAAATGCGCAGGTTCCACATAAAAATTAAACATATTTTTATTTAGATAGTGGTAGAACTTCTTTACACATGACACAATTTAAGTGGGAGTAATATGAAAATTCTCCCTACTACGGGAAGACTAGAAATTTTCCCGAGAGATACTAATATTTGATCACTTATTTGTTCATACTCGAATATTATAAACTGAGTAGGAGAATATTCAAAACTGCAACATAAATAAAAAATACAAATGTCTAACTACGTTGTTGCGGCTGTTGTTATTATTATTGAGAATGACTACATTACCAATTTAACTAAAATAGTTCTTTCTGGACGACGAGAATTTCAGTTTATCAGATTTAATGGTCAAAGATTTATCATTACTTGGAAAAATATATATATTATAACCAATTTTAGTCGATCCGAATATTTTTTTAGTACCATGAAAGTATGAATTTTACTTAATATTTTGTCTTGATTCATTACTGTAAGATTTGGTTATGAATGAAAAATATTTTATTCAGTTAATGCAGTGGGGACAAACGACAAAGGTCTGTATATAATATCCGATAAAAATAAAAAATATATAGTAGTAAAAAAAAATAATAATAATAAAATAAATAATAAAAAATATATCCAAGAGTGCCTTTTCCCCCTCTTTTTAAAGTTTTTTAGTTGTTTTTATTTTTCCAGTGTGAGACATGGGTCATGAGGACCATCCAAGATGGGCTCAAACTTTGGGCTTTGAATATGGGCCTCATGCATAATTAATGGATCAAAACCATATTCAACCTTCAAGAACATTTTGTGTTTGGTTAATTATTTTTGGTTTAAATATTCTATTTCACTTTGTTCATTTTAATCATTTTTAAAACATCCATTTTAATTCTTATATTTTTAAATTTTAGTCCGTGTACGTTTTAGATGTTCATTTGGATTCCTGGAACTTCAAAAGTGACAAGTTTAGTCTATTTATTTTAATTTTTATTTCAATCAAACACTTCATTCACTAGATTCTTAAAATATAGCTACTAATTTGTATTAAACAGCTTTGTTGTATATAAACTGTGGGTTAGAATCTTACAAACAAAAAACACAATAGTTATTTTTTAAAAGTAGGAACAAAAGTTAAAAATACAAGATCTAAAATAAGTATTTTGGATATGCAATACTAAATTGAATCAAAATCAAAATACTAAAATAGTATTTAAATTATTATTTTTAAAGTAAAAACCGAAACGGTTCTTCCAGGTCGGATTGTTCAATTATTTTAAAAAACTAGGCTCATGGGTTGCATAGATGAGAAAACCGAGCATTTCGGTTCGGTTCGTTATTCTGATAAAATACCTAACGAACCGGAACCGCTATAAATTAAAATAATATAAAATTAAAAATAGAATCCAGCACCAGCAGCACAGTTCACACTTCCAGCCCTAGCATCCCCTCTCCTTGCTTTTCTATTCATGTTTTCAGTTTTCTCGATTCCCGCCGCCGGTAACATCTCTCTCCTCTCGACCGCCGCCGCCACCGCCGCCCTCCTTTCGCTTTCTCGCTCACCGCCGGCGGCGGATCCAGCCCTTCGATTCGGCTGAAAGTCGATTTATTCAATACTGAAAGTCGAGAACGGTTCAGGAAAAAACCGAAGAGCCAACCGAAAGTATATAAATAAAATTGAAATAGTCCCGTCTTTTTCAGCCCAAAAACCCTTATTTCTTGTTTGCTGGCCCAAAAACCCTTACCTCCGACTACCGCCATGCCGCACCTGTGGGCTTACTCCTCACTCCCGCGAGRGCCGTCGACATCTCCCCTCTGTAAGTGTTATTGATTGCTCGAAACTACTCCATCTCTCACGGATTGAAATGACCATTTGGTTCTGAAATCATAAGATCAAAATCAAAATTTGAGAACTATGTTTAATGATGTCTCTTTTTTTTTTTTCCTCGCTGAGGTTGTGAGTTTAAACTTAGTTTGGGTTAGATTTTTATCTGCTGTAATTTGAGTTTTGTTTACTCGAACTGCTGCTCCATCTTTGTCGTAGGTTGTGGGAGTTGGCATGTTTTTCCTTCCATGTTTCAAACTATGTGATCTACTAATCTTATAGTTTTTGGCAAATTAAGATCTTATGCATTCGGGTTTGTAGTGTTCTTCGAGTTATATGTTGAATGAGTTTTTACGTCGGGGGTTTTTAATTCCTATTATTTTTCGTTCAGTACTTATAATAAGTAGTAACCTTTTTTTTTGGGTAAGAGTATTAAGTAGTAACTTTTATCGGTTGTTTTTTTTATAGGAAATGTCTGACATCCACTAAAAGAGGGGGAAATTACAGGAGAGAAAAAAAAAGGTGACAAGACGTTAACCCACCCAAAACCAAGTGGATTATACAAACTTCCTCCAATTTTTTCAATATTGATGGAGTAGACTTCTAGGAGGCATTGTTTTTTCATTTTTTGAAAAGAAATTTCTTTCTGCAGATTTAGAACGTTAAAAGATCGCTGCAGCTTGTGTTGGATTAGTAAACTACAGATCGTTGGCCACAAGGATCATCGCCATGGCAAACAGACGGTGTTTACAAGTACTAACTCGTCATGCCTCAGCCATTATTTCCACAAAGCCATTTGTCCACTCGTTGAAAATCTCGCCCTCCATCCTCTCCCAGAATTTCCGAACTCATGCTTCTATATCAACCTATCTTTTTACTAAACTTGATCCTTCTTTGTGTTTCCACTGGTCACATCCCCGAAATCTCTCATCTGATAGTCGTGATGGCAATGAAGATGATGATACTGAAGAAGATGAAGATGAAGAAGCATATGATAGTGGTGAGGATGATGATATTTCGGTGTCAAGTAGGGGTGTGCAAAAGGAGTATTCAAAGGAGGAGAAGGAGGCAGAAGCAGCTGCTATTGGATATAAAGTAATAGGGCCACTTGATCAGTCTGATGGGGTTTTCAAGCCTTATGAGCCTGTTTTTGCTGTTGTTCAGGTTCAAACACGAGGCATATCTTAATGAGATTTTTGAATTAGAAGTTGGTATCACTTATCATTTATGCATTCTTTTCTTTTGGCGGTCCTGTAGATTGGTTCACACCAATTCAAGGTTAGCAATGGAGATAGTATTTTTACTGAGAGATTAAAATTCTGCGATGTGAATGATAAGGTGCGTAACTCTTATACCCCATTTTTCATTGTGGGTTTTTAAAATATATTTTATCATTTTTAGTCTACATCCTAGCTTTTCGCTACGTTTCTACATGGTCTCTTGGTCTTGGTATTTTGAAATTTATTGGTTGTTTCATGTATTGAAATGAGGCTTCCAACCAGACTAGTAATACTGCATCTTTAAATGGTGTTAAACCAACTTAGAAGCAGTTTTCAGAATCTAGAATTATAACGTGGTATGATTTAAGATTGTACTCAATAGTTTTTCTGTTCTGCTACTGTTTCCACGGCGTAAAGCTAAAGTTCATAGTATTCTATGTTGTCTTGATTGGTACCAAAGATTCSACTTAACAATAATTTGATGGGCAGTAAAGCAGTTTTTGGATGAATAAGTAGAGAAGAGCTCCTAAAAAGCAATTGTTACACACATGAGATGAGAAGTTGCACTTAGATGAGATTAAACTATGTAGTGATGCATGTTACTTAATAAGAAGGATTGCTTCAGGCTAATTAAAGAATGAGGAAAATATGACCTTTTTTTTTGGTTGATAAGAAACAATTTCACTTGGTACAAAATTAAAAAGGTGGATAGTCAAGGGAGTTACAAAAAGCTTCTCCAATTGGATAAAAGAGAAGAAAGATTATAGTGATGAAAGAGAGAACATTTACACCAACAAATGACTAATAAGACTATAGCAATTAGAAAACTGATAAAAAATACTCTCATTGTCTATGAAGATTATGTGGTTCCTTTCTTGCCAACTGACCTAAAGGAAAACTCTAATAAAATTCATCCGTAGGAGCTTCCTTTCTTTAAGATAACCCACCAAAACAATTTTGAGGAGAAGGCTCTTGGGATCATTTGGGATAACGGTAGACYAGGCTAACTTTGAAGTTTGACAGAATGAAATACCACCAATAAGTAGCAAAACCACTACGAGCTTTGGTAATTTCACAAGCAGTGGTCTAACTTTGATAGAATGAAACACCAAAATGTGAGATGCTTTACAAGAGGATCTTTTCTGCCATTTTTATTGTTCTTCTGTCCTGTCATAGACATTAGTGTAGTTCTGTAGAATCCCACTTAAGGATTCTGGTCTTTTTGTGTTGAATTTCCGAACTGTTAATGTCCTTTTCTATTTCATCTTGAGCAAGCTTCAATAACTTTTTTTATGAAATTATTTTTTGCAGTTGATATTGAATAAGGTTCTCTTGCTTGGCTCAAGTAGCCAAACAATTGTAGGTAGGCCAACAATATCAGATGCAGTTGTTCAAGCAGTTATTGAGGAACATGTAAGAGCGACAACTATTCTGCTTACTTGCCTTTTGTTGTTAATGCAATATGTTAAAAAGAATAAATTTTGCTATTATGTTCTTATGAAGTCAGAGTGTTGAATTCTCAGGCTGCAAATGCATCTTTGAGGACTACTTCTGAAGTTCTTTGTCCACTCTAGAAAATATACTTCTAGTTTTAGCCACATTTCAGAACATTCATATTAAATGGGTTTAGACAATGCAATTACTACAATAGGAATATCCAATTTGTCTGTGGCAGTAAAAGATTCACATTTCCTTCTTCTAAAATACCCAACAGGATAGGAAAAAATAATTAAGTATGGAGATTTAACAGCGTYCAGTAGATGCCTAAGAGGCATTTCTTCTAACAGCTGTTGCTTAAAGGGAATATGGAATGACAGAGGGGTTCGGAAAAATGAGTTGTCTGCCTTTTACAGTCATGACATGAACTTCCATCCAACGCTAATTCTGAAGTATGAAGTGTAATATATTTGTCATAGTAATTTACTGCTATGATCTCATGTCAACTGTCTTGTTCTGTGACTATGGTTGTTCTGCGAGTGCAATTTTCTTTTCCCCCTTTCTTGTTTGTTTCAAATCCCCGACCACATATCTTCTTGGAAGTCTCATTCTCAAATGCGTTCCAATTTGTAAGACCTGAATGTTTTTTTTTTCTCCTTTTCAAAAGGCATTAGATGCAAAAGTAATCATCTTCAAGAAAAAGAGGAGGAAGAACTACCGCAGAACCAAAGGCCATCGCCAGGTATATACAGACTATCTAGAAAAAAGAAAAAGGCATCTTATTTAAGTTATTTGATGACCCTTTTTTGCAATATTTTGTGTCATAGGAATTAACAAAGTTGAGGATCATCGATATCCAAGGTATTGACAAACCAGAAAACATTGGAAAGCCTTCAAAAGCAGCTGTTAAGAAGCAAGAAAAAGTTGCAGTAGCTGAGTAGTAGATGGTTCCATGAATCTAACTAGCTGGAACTGCTCAGTGGGCGTAACTTTCTGGTGCTTTATGATGCGATGAGTTGATTCTAATTCCTTGGAAGTGTGTTTTTTTCTTCCAACGAGGCATGTTTTGTAGGAAAGCAACTACTCTAAGATTCCCTTTCCTTTTCTTCCTATTTTCCCTATAGTTTTCCCCAAAAATATATTTTTCTTATGAGAGTTCTCCCCAAAAATCTCATGTCTTCTATTTAAATAATTTGAGTTTGCTCACAAAAATTGTTGTCATAACTCTTTATGGTAGATCCTGAATTTCTTGTATTGGGATTTGGTATTTTCCTATTTGATGGAACCATGCAGGATCTTACATTCTTTGCAGGTGACTTCTTTTATTTTTTAAATATGCATTAGGATCTTAAACATGAATCAGATTGTAGCTTTTAAATTGCTTTTGAACCTTTATAGACTATAAAGTTATGGATTGCATGATTAATTAGTTTCATTGGATTTGGCTTCCCCTCCCATAGCCAAATTATGTGCGTCTGTTTATAAATTGTAGCCTGCTGAAGTTATCTAATTTGAATGGGTGCTGGATTTTGTTCTGAAGAATTGATGATTAATGTGAAGATTAGACATTTGGAAAATTTGTAAAAGGTCGAAACTATTCTCTGAAGAACTTAAATGAACAGCTAAAGCTTGGTGGTGTTTAATAACCATTTTGTTTTTTTTTTTGGTTATATAAAATTGTTTATTTTTTATTTTTTACAATTTCACTGATAAACTCAATTCTCTTGAAATATATTTGAATTCTTAACTAGACTAAAAAATATATATATTTGAAAACTATTTTTTTCTTTTCTTCAAAATAAATTTTGAAGAGGTTTATAAAAATTATACAACTATACAAAGTAATCCATGTTGAAAATAATGTTTCTAAGCTAAATTTTAAAAAACGAGTATGGGAGACTTAATCCTTACTCTAAGTATTACATGTTGAATTTACAAAAAAGAAAAAATTAAAACATAAAAATTATAAATAAAATGTTTATATGACCTTGTCTATATTTTAGATATTTCTAGGTCCAAAACATTTGAAAATTTTTGTTAAATCGGTTTATAATTTAATTTTACTGTGATCATGAAATTTATTTACAGCCATTAAAGACACTACTTTCACATTTCACATGTAAACATAAAAATCCAATTCAAATAACTATAATATCTGTCACYCAGATGTTGTACTAAAAAAAATTATCTCCTATATTTTCTTTACATTAATTATATAATTGTCATTTCGAAAATAAAATATATATTTAATTTTAATTATTTAAAAAAATCATATTAATATGATTTTGATCAACAAAATAACATATAAAAATTGATCTATACAGAACTATTATAAAAAAAATTTTAAATTAATAAAACAAATCTATTATATAAATGTAAATTATATTAAATTGATGTATAAATTATATGAATATTTTTTAATTTAATCATCTGACTTTTATCAAATGTCCAATTTGATTATCTTATATTATTTTTTATTTTTTCTCTTTTTTAGTTCACAAATGGGTGGGGAAATATCTTATACTCAAATTATATACTTGACTGAGATCAAATATAGAATTAAATGAACTTCTAAAATTGTCAAAAAAAAAACTTTTAAAATAAAATTAGAAATTTCGAAGCTGAGTAACTAAAATAAAAAAAAGTAAAAAATAAAAAATTGAAAGAACGAAACTTAAAAGGAGAAGGATTTAGAGAAGAAAATAAAATATAAGGTTTCACGGATCAGTACCAAATTTATTCTGAGCATTTGGTATCGGCTCTTCGTTGGACGCGTCTCTCTCTCATTCAACAAAATAATAATAATAATATTCATAAATAAAACGAAAGGGAAAGGAAAAAAAAGGACGAGCTAATACGATCCTCTTTCTTCAGAATTGCGCAAAGATCGTAAGTTTAATTTCGAGGCCTTTCTGTATTCTTCTTGCTGCATTGGTGTAAGTTTTTTTTTTCTCTCTTTTTACCCATTCCGACGAATGAATTATCTGCATTTTCTACCGATACTTTTTTGAGATAATTTTTCTTGAAGCAACTTTGATTTTATATCTTCAGAGTTGCTAGGAGTTGAATATTTTTATGTATTTTAAAATATGTGAAGTTTTCTTCTCGTTCGCGGAGTGAATTTGAGTTCAATTTTGGAGATTTGATCTGATTGCTTGATCTGAAGGTTGCCTGGAGTATAATTGCACGCGGAAGTTGTGATGGCAATAGACCAGGGTGAGCTTACCACTGAGCAGGTTGGTGATTAGATCTTCTTATTGTTTGTCTGCCTTTAGGATTTGGTTCTGAAGTGGGTTTAGATGTTAATCAGTACTCTAAAAGATGTGATTTCTTCGATGGGGCAAGATGTAATTGATTATCATATTATTCATACGGTTCGTCAGTTGGATGGTGTAAGTGTAGCTACGCCTTGGTGATTGAATGTAATGTATTAATTTGAGCAGAAAGGTCAATGATCAAAAGATAATGGACCACTCGTTAGTTATGGGTAATACTTGCAAATTACCTTTAGGATCTAAGATTGCAGCTCATCTGAACATCTTAATGTCAAAATTACTGGATGATTCACACTCCCTTGATTATGTAGCAACCTTTGATTCCATTGGCTTCATCTTCTCCAATTTTATGTTGGAAATTTGAGGTTTTGGTCTTTCGTTCGGTTCTGAATGATTGGACACGTTTAATTGTTTCAGAAGAATAAAAATTCTTTTGGAATATGATTTTTGAGGTTGAATTCTCATCCTGTTTGTTGCACAAAAATATTCTTCCCATGAAAAGCATTTCACAGTAACTGGATTTTAACATTTTACCAGATGATTTTGTTTAACATAATTAACATTTTTTCCAATTGTGTAAGGTTCTTACAAGGGATATTCCATGGGAGACATACATGACCACAAAACTTATCAGTGGAACAAGCCTTCAGCTGTTAAGGCGTTATGATAACAGACAAGAGAGTTACAGGGCACAGTTGTTGGACGATGTAATTTCTCCCCATACAAGTTAGATCTATTTTTGTAATATAATTCATTAAAGCTTGTTTTTTTTGTTCATGTTTATTGTAATGAAAATCTTGTTTGTCAACCCTTATGTGGATAACACGGTGAGTTAGGAGCTATTTTCTTTCCATTATTTCATAATACTCAAAGTGCAGTTCAATTTTGCAGGATGGTCCAGCATATGTACGAGTATTTGTTAGCATTCTACGTGATATATTTAAGGAAGAAACAGTGGAATATGTTCTAGCATTAATTGATGAAATGCTTACAGGTAACTGAAAGATTTTCATATTGATTGCAGTTTATGATTACGTTTGGGATCACTTGTCAAGAAAGGTTTTAAAAGATTAAAGATTATATTATCTATTTTTTCTAGAGATATCATAGTGGCTTTTCTTAAAAGTTTATTAAAAAAAGTTGCTTTCCGAAGAGAATAAGACCTCCAATTATGTTAGGAGGGGGTCAGATAAAAGCAGTTGAGTAGTTAGGTAGACATTAGCAAGCCTTTGTGATAGTCGAAGTAGTTTATTTGGGAATTCATAATTGGTTGACAATTAGTTTTGGATGTACTCAAATAAAAGGGAAGTTTTGAGGAAAGGGGTATGAAGATTTTTGAGGGATCCAAGCCTCTCAAATAGCTGGAAACCTAATTAGAACTTTCAAAGTTTTGCCAGTTGGTGAAAAACTACTATTTTGTCCAGTGATATATAAAACAAAGAGAAGTAACCACGAGAACTTGGGACACCACTATGGTACTAGGCAAAGAAGTTATGACCGTTCAAGTTTGTACTCAAGTGGATTGGTGTACAAAGTGATAGCAAGAGTATGGTCAGAGTGGCAACCTGTATCTACGGCATGGAGGGGATCGTGTACTTATAGGGTTGAGTAGATGGTTAGCTATGATGGGAGGCAGTTAACCCCGACAAGAGGTGCTGAGCATGGGATGAACATTTGCAATTATTTTGAGATTACATTGTACGTGAGAATAAGCTTAGATGGTTATACCATTTAACCAAGGAGCATTGGTTATAGCCAAATCAAGTCCTAATTGGGTTAAGGTAAGATGGTTAGCAGGGATTGATGGCATGTTGTTATGATGCACAGGTGTATTGGTATGGCCAAGTAGATGCAAAGGTATACATGCACCTAAGCTCGATTTCTTGAGCAACTTGTTGTCTTGATTGCCATGTGATGGTAGCATAAAATGGTATGATGATTATCTTGAGGTAATGGGGCATGCTCCTTCGTGATTGTGGTATCTCAAACTAAGCATAGGAGAAATGGGGCTTCCTTTAGATTGGTCTTACAGCCCAAGCGACTTAAGTTTGGATGTCATATGTGGGACATTGATGAAATTGGGGATGTTAGTTTTGTTGTGAGCAACCATGTCAAGCAGTGGGGTTGATTTGGCCCTTATAGTTTGCCTCCCACTTGTTGCGCGGTGTGGTTTGACACATTGGGTGAGGAGAATTCTATTGTGTTTGTCAAGAACCATCATTTATGATAGCCTTTGGAGGTCTATCAAAGTGACAACTGACTTTCTTGGTTTGATCCTAGTTTTGTGTCTACCCTGAACGTTTAGGAAGGAAACATCGGAAGAGGTCTCAAATATTTAGGCTTTCTAATAATGAAATAAAATTTAGAAGGGGTTCAATTGAACTAGCATTATGAGCTATGTAGATATAATCGAAGGTGTAATTGGTAAGAACTCCTACAGTCAATGCAATGATCTTTTATAACTTTTTGTTCTATTTAAAATTTATGAGTTAATAACAGTTGATGAAAAAATATTTAATTATTAGGTATAATAATCATTCAATTTGTAAAATATTTCGATCAATCAGTATTGATTTAATATTTAATGGTATTCTGAAATTTGTAAAATATTTTTTATTAATTAGATAAATTTTGATATTGCTTTAATATTGACTGATTATCTGAAATGTGATTGTTATTTTTTTTTTTTTGTAAGTTTATTGCATTTTCATATTAGTTTGACCTTCAAAGTGTAAATAATTTGTGTATCGGTTAATACATTAGTTGCAAACATATATCATGTTTATTGTTCAATAGTTTATAATAAATACTTCTTACTATCAAATCTCATAATACTATTTTCTTTAGAAAACGTTTCACGAACTATGAAAGACACTCACRGATATAAAAAAAAACCTATGAAAAACTGAAATATTTATCAATATCAGTCTTAACTAAATTGTTTATGAAAAAATAATTTGACTAAATCCACCTAATATGTGGTAAATGCTTTGGCAGCAAACCCGAAAAGAGCAAGATTGTTCCATGATCACTCTCTTGCAAACGAAGATGCTTATGAGCCTTTCCTAAGGTATGTATGAGATTAAAGCATGCCTTTTTGCTCAATAATAAATTAACACACATTTCATTGGTGCTAAAAGTCTGAATAATAATTTTGATCATCTTGATATTCAGGTTATGTTTATTATTATTATTTATTTATTGTTTTGCTTTTTGAATTTCTCTCTAATATATTACATTCTTTGTGTTTAATGTTTTATTTTGCTGTTTGGGACCTTATAAGGTTTAATGCTTCTTTATGGGGGTCTGTTTCAAAATTGTTTTGTAACTATCAGTTAGGTCATATTCTTTTGGATTGGAGGCCCTTTCTTTAGTTTGGCTTCCCTCTTTAGGGCTTTGTTTTTGTATGCCGTGTACATCCATTTTGTTTTCATTATTCTCAATGAAAAGTTTGGTTTCTTATAAAAAAAATATATATATATAATATATACATATTACATTCTTTGCTGACATTGTTTTTTGACCAAGCAAAGTTTAATTCTTTCTTTGTGTATGACATAAGATAACTTCATGGCCCCGAAAGGTTGAACTTCAACAAAGCTTTAACCTACATGTAAAACATAAATTACATGCATCGATTTTAGGTCCCCCCTATATAATCTTAAAGGAGAGTTATAACTCTGACTATTTTAGGGTCAATAGTACACACGGAATGCAACAAAATGCCCTTGAAGGAGTCTTGGAGGAAGTTTATTAATTCTCAAGTAACGAAGACAGAAATTAAWTTTTTTGCAAATCTTCCAAATCTTTATCACCTTCCCTTGGAAAACAGTGTTTGATTTCTGCTTTCATCCTTTGGACTCGGGAGACTCAGCTCACAATTTCTACTTCAAAAAGGGCTTTGGTTGGTTTTAAGTTACCTGAGTCTTACATTCTGTTGGCTTAAAAAAGGAACACAAAATCACTGCTTATTGTTAATTGTTATTATTATAATTTTTAATTTTCTTGACATTAAGGATAAGTCTCTGACAACACTCACCGTCAGAATCTTCAATAAATTTTTAATTCAACTCCACATCTTTACAACTTTGTCCTTTTTTAACATAAGGATTGGCATAAATATTGAAGATTGATTTGTATATTTAGCAATGTGCATTTTATATTTGGAAAAGTATAATACTAAGTAAATTTCTTATGCATTTCAGATTGCTTTGGAAGGGCAATTGGTTTGTACAGGAGAAAAGCTGTAAAATACTTGCTCTGATTGTGAGGTACACTTTTGAAAATATTTTCCACCACAAAAGTTCAAGGAATCAGTTGTGTATGTGCGTTGGTGTGTTTATGTGTGTGCATTATTGATGTAACCATTATGGCATCTCTTAATTTCTTTCTCCTACTATAGTGCTAGAAAACAAAATCATGATGGCAGTTTTTCAAATGGTGATGCCTCAAACTCCAAGAGGCAAATTACTGCCATTGATGATGTTTTGGATGGACTGGTGAAATGGCTTTGTGCACAGGTATGTTGCCATATGTTCGATACCTTTACCATCCCTTCAATGTATAAAGCCTGTAACATAATAATAGACCGGAAACTTTTTTTTATATATGATAAACAATTTTTTTGGAAGCTTCGGTTAGGGTAAAGGCCCACTGTTCCACATGACATTCTAGTCCAAGATTATTTTCAACAAATATAGAATGTTCAAAATTTCAATTTATAATCACGTAATGGCTCTTTCCTCTGCTCCATTGTTTCTACCCTCTTTTCTTTGTCCTTCGGTCCCTTCCTCTATTCTCTCTTGTTCTTTGTATTTTCTGTCTAATGTCTCTGATCCCTCACATTTGCATCCTCACCATGGTTGGAATTAACATCCATAAGAAGGAATGCCAGTTATGCTTCCCCGAGCCTCATCTAATTCACAACATAAATATATAAAAAAAAAAGAAAGAAAGAAAGAAAGAAAGAAAAACCTTGATTTTTCAGCCACCAAGTACTTTTGAATGTCAATTTTTAATTTTTGATAATTAAGGTCTCTGCTTATAGAGCTTGGTATTTAGGTTCTTTTTGTTCTCTTAACGTGGAGACTCAAGACCATCTCTTTATCTCCATACCCCTTTGCTTGAATTTTATGGCCCCTTCTCCTGTAGACCTTTGGATTACAGTTACCACTTCCCCACTAGATGGTCAGCTTGATTTCTTCCCTCAGGGAAGGTCATCCTTTAAAACCAGAGAAGAAGATCTTGTGGCTTCATTTATTATAATTTATTTGGCTAGAAAAAACATGAGAATTTTCAACAATAGAGAAAGATCTTTTAGTTTTTTTAGGACAATATAATATGACTTGTGTAGCCCTCTCTTGGTGTAAGTTGTATACACCTTAGAGTTTAATCTTACCTCTCTTTATTGCCACCTGGAACTTAGAAGACCTTTTTGTAACCTCTTTGACTTGGGCTTGGCTTTSCTCCGCCACTTTTTGTAATTTCATGTATTTTACGAAAGAGTTTCTTAACATCTTTTTGTGCTCTTATATGGTTCCCAGCTGCAGATTTTCTGCACGGTCTTTCTATTTTTCATATTTTCATATCCCTTGAATCAAATTTTAATTCAGATCCCTACTTGTTAAGTTTAAGGGTTCTAATATCAATGTTGCTGACATGGTGTTCTTAAAATGTTGTGTAGTTGAAGAATCCTTCACATCCTAGTCGTGCCGTACAGACTTCTATCAATTGTCTTGCAACTCTGTTGAAGGAACCAAAGGTCAGATCCTCATTTGTCCAAGCAGATGGAGTGAAATTGCTTATTCCTTTGATTTCTCCTGCATCGACCCAACAATCTATTCAGGTAATTGTGGTCATTCACTTCTTGGCAATGGCACTCATCTTCTTATTTGTTGGATATTTATTTTGGATTTATTATCATAATCACGCAAAACCAGATTCGCATTTCTAGAGGTGTATCCAGTCTTCAATTACTTCATTTAATTTCGAAATATGTTATTATCAAACTTAAACATTGAAACTAACTGTTCTTTTTCTTACAGCTTCTATATGAAACATGTCTTTGTGTTTGGCTCTTATCATATTATGAACCGGCAATTGAATTCTTGGCCACTTCTAGAACCCTTCCAAGACTTATCGAAGTTGTCAAGAGTTCCACAAAAGAGAAGGTGAAGCCGTCCTTTGGTAAATTTTAGTTATTGTAATAAAGTTACTTGTGGCCTGTTCTTTGTCTTTTAGTTTGCCAGAACTGACTTGTATTCATTCTCTCTCTCCTATACATTCTTTGCAGTATTACATCCTACCTTTGTTTTTCATATTTTCAAGTAGATTAGCCACTTAGACTATGTTGGCTAGTTCACCAATGTTCAGCTTCTAACATGAATGTTTATGTAACTTGTTTGTGATATTTCTACCAGGTTGTTCGAGTTGTTATTTTGACCTTGAGGAACTTACTCCACAAGGGGACATTTGGAGCTCAAATGGTGGGTCTCGGACTACCACAAATTGTTCAGAGTTTGAAATCACAAGCATGGAGTGATGAGGTATGAAAAGTTGAAGATTTCTCCTTCTGCCGTTTCTTTTATTTTCTTCATAATTGTTAATGCACCCACCTCATTTATGGACATCAGAGAAACCATTGTTCTGTTCTTTTGGTTGATATCATGAATTATTTTTTACTAATCTCCCTGTTTCCTACCACTTGTAACAATTCAATAGAAACCATTAAGGTAACGTTATTTTCTCTCTCTTTTCAACATCAATTGTTCAATCTCTTTATAACATCAATGGTTAGTTGAAAGTTACTCAATGTCACTAGTATTTTATCCAAATCTTTGATGACTTAATTATATCCCATAGCTCCATTGGGGATTTTCCTCTTCTGCCCCCATTTCCCCTTTTCAGTATCGGATATAAGTGCTCTTTCTCCTTCCTCTTCTACATTCTTCTAATGTGCCTTTTTCTTCTTAGTGTGAAATGAATGACATTGCTCATGGTTCCTGATATTATTTACACAATTGGATAATTTTGTTGATTAAATTTTTGTTCTATGATCCCCACCATTTTCTAGATAAGAGACCTCCCTATCATGTCCTCTATTTTGATCTTTACAAGAAGAGGGAATGGAGGGACTGATAGGTTTGTGATAGAACTTCAAATATATTGAATTTTTAGAGAACATATTTTACCCTTCCAAATTTTATTTTCATTGCTTAATCCTCCTCTCTGTACCCACCTCCCCTCGTCTATGACGACAGTTATTTTTAGTAGAGAAACTTGTAAAATAGGAAAATTTGCAAAAAAAGCTTTGTAATGATTCCTTACTGGTGGTTCATTGCTGTAATTCTATTTTTTGAAAGTAAACCAAGTCTTTTCTCTGGTGGACTGCCCATTCTGCATTTGGTTTCTGTATTCTTTTCTGACCGCCTGAGTTGGATAAGATAGTAGGTAGGATCTTCATTATGATGAGTTCATGATCTCTCTATTTGGAAAAATGATCAGGTTAATCCTACTTTTTTCCAAGTGAAATTGGACTCTATATACATTGTCGAATATGGAAATCTACACCAACAATGCGGACTGATTTCCATTTTGATTCAAATTTATATTAACCTACTTGCAATTCTTTCCATTTTATTCAAATTTATATCAACCTACTTGCAATTCTTCATAATGTAGGCATACATTTTAGCCCTCTTTTCCTTTTCATTTCTTTTCTAGTGTCTTTTCATAGTGATTTGCCAATATGTATAGGACCTTTTGGAGGCTTTGAATCAACTGGAAGAGGGGCTGAAAGATAATATCAAGAAACTAAGTTCTTTCGACAAGTATAAGCAAGAAGTCCTTCTCGGCCATCTTGACTGGTCTCCTATGCACAAAGATGTAAATTTCTGGCGTGAAAATATTACAAGCTTTGAAGAGAACGACTTCAAGGTTCTTTTTCCCACTCTTTTACAGTAATTTTTTTCTGCCATTTTCTGAATCTTCACCAAGTCGTTATCATGCACAAAAGGACTCCAATTACTCATACAAGTAAACCACTTCCTTCATAGAATCATGGAGAATTTGTTGCTTCACTGAAAAAGAGAGTAATTCCTGAGTTTTCTGAAACAGATATTGAGGGTCCTAATCACCATCCTGGACACTTCAAGTGATCCAAGGGCTCTGGCAGTTGCCTGCTTTGATATTTCCCAGTTCATTCAACACCATCCGGCTGGGAGAGTTATAGTGACAGACCTCAAGGCCAAAGAAAGAGTGATGAAACTGATGAATCATGAGCATGCTGAGGTTACCAAGTATGCCCTCCTTTGCATCCAAAGGCTCTTCCTAGGTGCCAAGTATGCCAGTTTTCTGCAAGCTTAATTCAGTTTTTTGGTGAGACACACTTGTGTAAGTTATAATAAACCCATCTACTTAATTTTATTAAGTAATTATCTTAATTTTTTGGGTTTTTTGGTGTGAATCATGAGAGATTTTATTCCTTTCTTGCATTCCCAGAATATTCTTGGACTCGTTGAATAAAGTCACCAGGTTTTCCTACCTTGTGTTTTGCCTTTTGATGTGTATTAATTTGGAAATTGAGGAGACCCTCTCAAAGTTGGAAGGAGTGAAGAGATCTTTCAACTTTTCTCTTATTGTTTCTATTTTTTATTGTGGAAAATCTAGCGCTTGTTTTTCTGAAATTATTTGGGTGCAAAATCAAGTTACACATGAATATTTGTGATTAATCATGCATAACAAATTAAGTAGATAATGAGATATAATGGGTTCTCAAGAATCTTTAAAAATATGATTATTTGTAGTCTTGTTTTTGTTCTTAGTTGTCAAAGTCTCAAGAATTATGGTCTTCACTATTTTGAGGAACTAAAATGGTTCCTGAAAATTGCAATGGTTCAAGTAATGTGACTTTTCATTATAGAGTTCCTATAATTTGGATATAGAATCACTTTTTTTTTTAATTCAAAATTGAAGAATGTATTGATCAGAAATAACACTCTCCAAACAACTCGAAAATTATGACGTTTAAGATTGGATTTTTGACTCATAGAGAGCAAGAGGACATGCCTACTGGCTTTGTATTAAAGCAAGAAACCTTTCAACCATTAATTGGCTTTATAATTTGATTGAATCACATAAAATATTTTCAAAATAAATCCTTTACCGCCAATCACATATTTTATTTTAATCATTAAATTTTATATAAAAATTAATCACGTAATATATAACTTCAACCATTTTTACATGTGGACAATTATTGATGATAAATAAATAAAAACATGTCTATTTTCTTAAAGTTTAGAAACCAAAATGGACAATACTTGCAGAGAAAGGGAGAGACTTTTTCTTTTTTAAAAAATTAAATAGCTACAAAAAAAAAAAAAAGTTAATCAAGGAAAGTTAAAGCACAGGATGCAATCATTTAAGAAAATTTTCTTTTACTTTGTTATACATGATCCAAGTTAGGTAAAATGAGCAAAATGAAAGCTAATGCTAACATAAAAGAAGTTTTCTGTAGTCATGATATGGGCTTCATTGGCGACCCTCTTGATTGTGGCGATGAAGTCCACAGCTCTACTGCCATGGTCCTCCATTCTCAAACTCTAACCTCTCCATTAACAGGAGATTCGGAAATAATGATTCTTTACTGTACAAACAACTGCAGAGCTGAAAGCTATAAAATGGATCACAAACAGTAAACAGAGGTCAAATGACTGTTTCATTCATTTCTACAGAGTATGAGTGCTTCTTTGTCTCCATCCCTACAACAAAACTGTTTGTAAATAAATTTATGGGGACAACAAGGACGACTACGACATGTTCTTTGACATCCGTATGCTCACATCTTTCTTGTGGAGAAGACGAACAATACTGATAAATCTGGCCGTTCTAAATTACCATCCCGTCTTTACTATATTGCTTCTTTACCGAGAATAGTTCGAGGGAAGTTATCTCTCCTTATGGGTTATAAGTTCCAGCATCTTCTCCCCAATGTGATACTCAGAAAAACTATACAACATTAGTGTTTTATTTCTCAATAGAACTTTTTKTTTTTGCTAAACTAAATCTACTATTTTGGTACTCTACGTGTAATATTGTACTTTCAATCTCTTGCCTTAAACTTTTTATAGTATTATGGTAGTACGGAGATTCTTCATACTACCCCTATTTATTATAAGCTATGTTAGGAGTCAGGACTAATGTCGAGTCCAAGTCTAATGACATTTAAGAAAGATCTAAGTATTACATCTGCTGCACATGTAGACATGGAAGGTTTCATATGGAACAACACAGGAAAATCAATGGGCAAGACGGACTAAACCTTTACATGGCCACTAAATATGGAGAAGTTTCTCTTTTTAAAAAAAATGCATGCAAATATTTTTCACAAGTATAAGATTACTACAAGCTAGATCATGAAAAAAAAATGGTTTTGATGAGAGAGAGAGAGATGTTCAGTTTCCCTCACTTAATGACAATTGCAAAGCGTGCTCTGCCTCCTTCAGAAAGAGACTGGTTAGCTGCTTCTGACCTTGGCGATAAACAATGCTAGACCACTGGTTCCTGCTCATCAATTTTTGTTGCCTTCCGTCATCTGACCCTTCGCTGCAGCCGAGAAGGAGACTGGAAAGAGAAGACACTAAGAACTGATGGATTTGTAAGGTAATAATTACAATCAAAGATGGAAGAGGTTGCTTTCAGATCTTTCTATAACAGAAGAATTTGAACCCATTACTGTCACGTAAACATTATACATACATAGAGTTATGGCCTATGGTTAACATTCTTGGTCTAAAGTTTTCAGAGAATTCAATTTGGTGTTGATGAACCTCTCCCTGTTTCCCATCCAAACACAAACTCATCTAGAAAACTAGAGAGTATTTGATTTGCAGGTCTCAGAGCCATAAAAGCCATTATCAGGTTAAATTTAAACACCATTAAAAGATGGTACCTTGCAGATTCCAGACAAGCGCCATTTATGTTTGTGCTTTCAATCACTTGGACCTCTTTTAGCAGCTTAGTGTCGCTGTCCAGAGTTCCCGTGCCCTCTTCGAGATCCATCATCCTGAAACATGGATAACCTCTCAGTTACCTCGAAAAGAGATGCCTGTAAGCGCTTTCTCAATCATAGAGTTTCGGTAGGTTATTCAGTACATTATTTTTCTAAATATTTAAGTTCAGGTGAACAAACAGTTCTAAAATACAATCTAGCAGTTACTTCTTTTGAAGAAGATCTACAAGTAGTTGCAAGGCTCCAGAATCGCCACAAGCCTCCCAGACTGCTGCCTGGACATCAGTGTCAGTGGGTTGCCTATCTTCATCAGGTCCAACAACCTTACAGAAGAAAAATAAGTACAGGTAGCAGATAAAAAGTAAGGAGATATGTTAAGCTTGATAAGCAAATTATTCTTCAAGTTCATACAATTAGCTTAAGCAAATTATTCTTCAAGTTCATACAATCTTACATTCAAACCATTAATCTACTTTCCCGATAATTATTTTTTGAGCATTGTATCAACCAAGCAACAAGGAGGTTCAACACATGGGTTTAAATGGACCCAAAAGTTCCAAGGCACTACCTCTGTCAGCAAAGATGAAACTTGCATAAGCTCATCCTCCTGCATAGATATAGTTCTCAAGGCAGTTAAAAATTTCTTGGGGAAAATCAGCTGGTCCAAGTAAGAAGGTATCTTGCGCTGACCACTCCAGCTGTAATTGTAAGCTCTGTTGCTGCAGACATCATTTCCTTTCACGTTTGAAGTGTTTTGTGGGTAAAATCCATGATCCAGCAATTTTCTTGGTAAAAGGCATCTCATTTCAGCCTTCTGTTTATGTGCAGGAGTTGAAAAAATACAAATTCATAAACATCAGATTGAAAATTTTTGTCCAGACAATGAATCGACTGCACATTTACAAATAGTAATATATATGGCATGTTAAACATAATGTTCATCCAACACGACACAAGCTATGTGATATATAAGTTATAATAGCTAACCTGTACTTCAAGGAGCTGCATCTTCGGTTCAGAAAAGGAAGCATTCTGGATTGCTTCTAAAGGATAGTGTACCTGCATATTATCCATCAAACCATCGATTTTCGTATTTACAGAAGCAGATCACTGCAAATGGAAGGTGTAAAGAAAAATTGAAAAGCCGACTGATCTGGGTTGGTCTGATTGGTTTGGTTTTGTTTGTTTGATCTCAGAACTGAAAATGATTCTCCTGATTCAGTTTATCAGTGTATGGCCAGTTCTCCAGACAGTTCGTTTAACCAGTTTGGTTTTATTATTAAAAATAAAATATATATATAATATATATTTTTTAAAGTAGCATAATTTTTTTCCTAAATCTTCAGGCCCAAATCAACCTGCTCACATCCCTATCTTACAAGAAAAGGATAGGATACTTTGTGTAGTAGGCATACTGTGATAGATAGCATTACCATGAGATAATCATCTGGATTATTTTCAATGACAAATCCATATAGATAAAGGAGCTCCTGCCAAAGTAGGAAAAATATCTAACCATATCAAAAAGGAAATTACACAGAAGTGAACCGCACATGCAACAATTTAAGGTAGAGTAACCTAAAGCTGTTTCCTTATACACATATATATATTTTTTTTTTGGAACAAGAAACAACTTTTCATTGATATATGGATAAAGTTGTTTCCTTATATTATACATTACTAATAATAAAAAAGACAACAACAAAATTCATGCTACATGGAACGGACAAGATCGTCTTTGAAAATAAAAATCGATACCTCATTCCCCTTGTTACCATAGCTGATTGAAACTTCCTCTATTCCCGAAGACCTTGCATCAACTTTTTGGGACGTGGAAAATAAAGAACTGTTAGAAAATTCACTAACATTATACTGAATGAGAATTGAAGAGTGAAATGACAATGAGGAAAAGATGGTTTCATGAGCCTCGTCAGAAAAAATGAATATGATGAAAGTGAATAAAAAGATCCTCCCTTTTCCAACAAAGTACAAGTATTTAATCTTTTCATCACCAAAGTTCAAAGCAATTTGAATATTAGGAGTCCTCTAAAACACGTGAAATAGCAAGATTAAATAAACGGGTGGAGAAAGGATCTGGAATTCCAACATAAGCGTTGAAGATGAAAATCCATTACAAGACCAGAAAAATCACAATACCAGAGAGAAGGTACATTGAGAAAGGAACTCCAGTAATGGATCCTGTTCCATCAACTTCCCATGTTGCTCTTGCCTTCAGATCTGAACGAATGAGATTTAGTCAGAGATTGACGACCATGAGAATTTAACAATCATGTCTACTATCATACAATATTTACAAGCAAAAACCAAAGAATTCATTCCATTCTACTGCTCCAAATAATTTCTAGACGGCAAGTTAAAGAATAATGATTTTCCTATTGTTTTCCCTTAATCTCTTCGGTACTTCCATGAAAATAAAGTTTAAACAGGCATCTCCCTAGCCAAAGGCAAAAAACAGCTTGCTCAGCAAGAGAGGAGGCCAAAACAAAAGGCACTAAAGATACAAACCTTTATATCTTCACTCTCCTTACCACACATGATGCATCTTCGAGAAAGAAGACAGAAATATATCATCACCAGTACATAATTATAATTTACTCTATCCATTATTTACAATATATATTTTGTATACAATTTGCTAAATGTATGTGCTTGCTCAAGCAATGCCTTTGTAAAGAAAGGGAGACTCGAACATAGGACATAGAAGAAGAGTTTAGTCAACAATCAACATGTTCTTAAGTAAATACTAAATACACAAGAATACTCTAATTAACTTTCATGTTTCTTCCTTAAAAATTTGATATCAACATGTAACTTTATATATTAAGTAAATAGTTATTGTAGACATAAGCACTATACTTAGTGCATTTTACTGAATTTACGTAGATGTAAAGCTATATTTATTAAAGTAAATTACAACTAATGCCCTAACATTTCAGCCTGCATGCAATTATTACTCCCTACATTTTCCTTTTTCTTTTCTTCTTCCTTCTTTTGTGAAATTATAACTCATACACTTAAAAGAATTGTACTCTATTCCTGGAGTCATCTTTGATTCAATTTGCGATTCAATTTGCAATCTAGTTTTTYAACAAGATACAAACTTTTCATTTAGAAATGAAAAGAATTTGCAATCTATTTTTATAGCATGATTCTCTTGATGGAAGAAAAAAATAGTTCATCCATGGCTGCTATTAAACATCATCCGAACAGAATTTATTAAGAATATGTAAAATAAATACAAATGCGAACAAAGAGGTCAAGATAACTGTTGTAATATCTGACGAGTTTCTACACACCATGATTGCAAAAGTCAACTCCGGGAACAAGACCCTCCACCCAGACAGTTTCTCCTTTTGTTGACCCAGATGTTTTTCCACTAACGGTGCCATCAATCATCCGGTGATCTTCACATCCTGAGATATACCTAGTTGTTAGTACACATAAATTTATTCCACCACATAATACCCCAAAAACAAACTTCAAACTATATAAGTATAAGATTGAGCACCATCTTCATCCTTAGTGGAAGCCAACTGCACCTCGGAAATGGTAGAATCAATAGTTTCTCTGATCAAGGAGACACTTTCAGTCTCTTCTTGAATTTTAGGAAACACATAAGCATGTGGAAGAGGAATGTTCAAAGCACGTGCCCAAAATATGGAATTTGCCCTAGAAAAGCAATAATATTCAATCTTGGACAAAATGCAAATGGATAGTTAAGCAGAGGCTCGTTAAACAAAATAAAGATAAAACTATCCTACTATGTTACATACCATAGGAAATCTTCAAAGCACACCTCCCTGAAAAATAAAAGAAGAATATTACACAAAATCTTTTGTCTTTGCATCTGTTAACAGCATAGTGATACACTGGTACAATAATGCAGAGGCAGATAATGCAAAGTCAAACTTCAAATTATTGGAACTGATCCATGCAGTTCAAAATGAGCTCACAGAACACAGTACATCAGGTCATTTGGCACAAATTCACTAACTGGCCCCTAAACAGGAAAAAGTATTTAAAAAAAATCATAGTATCAGAATGCTAGAAATTTTTCCTTTTTTTTTTTGGGAGGTTGTACGTAAGAGAACCTCAAATTTCCCATAGAAATTTAAAATAAGGTACTTAAAGAATAATGAAGATATGATGATATATCAAAGAAGGAAAACTTTACCTAGGAAATACAATAAAGAAAGAATTGTTTCCAAAGGATCAGTTTGAATTCAAAGGAGAAAATGTCATCCAAGTTTGCAGACCTTACTGAAAGCCCATCAAGAGTCAACAGTCTATTAACCAATTTCTTCACTTTATTTTCATATAATGACTGCAATGTTTTTTTCTGCAAAACAAAACTGGCTTTTGGTTAACAGGTAAACCTGGTATGAGACATCACCAAAAAATTGTAATGCAGAACATAATAATTCATATAACCATGTGGTTTTCATCAGATGGTAAGATTCTATCACAAAATATATTGGTGGCACATTGAATGAAAATAAGACTTCATATTTCCATGAAACTTACCCAAAGAATATTACAGGTAAATGTATTGCCAAAAAATGGCTTATTTCATCTTTCTTTCTTTCCTTTTTTTTATTGATTATTATTATTATTATTTTTTTTTTCCTGGGGTTGGGTCTGTGGTTTTCTGGTCATCTATTATTACCTATGGTCCGCATGACAAATAAGTTCTTGTAAACTCATGCACTGCATATTATATAAACTAACCCAGGCTTGGATGAGAACATGTACGGTATACTTCAGCATAAACAAAATATATATTACTTATTGGTGCGATAGATGTAGAACTATAAATATAATTGCTTTAACCATCATTTTCAATGTCAACCTTCAGATACATGCAGGTGACCATTAAAATTGATCATAAGCGGTAGCCAACAATATCTATAATTTGACTCCATTTCTTTAGGTGATGAGAGGGTCACAACAATTCTGTATGAACTGGGATGGAGTTAAGGAGGATTTGATGAAAGTATTTCGTGAGTTTCATTAGAGGGGTGTGATTGACTCTTCATTGAACGAGACCTATGTGTGTCTAATCCCGAAAAAGGAGAATGCTGTCAAAGTGAAAGAGTTTAGACCCATTAGTTTGGTAACGAGCCTCTATAAAATAATTGCAAAAACTCTTGCTGATAGGGTAAAAAAGGTTATGCCTACTACCATTTCGGAGATGCAAGGGGCTTTTGTTGTTGGGACTTGGGAGACAAATCTTGGATCAAGTGTTGATTGCTAATGAGGCGATTGAGGATTATAGGAAGAGCAAGAGAGAGGGTGTTATTTTTAAAATTGATTTCGAAAAGGCTTACGACCATGTGGACTGGGATTTTTTGGATAAGGTTTTGAGGAAGAAAGGTTTTGGGYACAAATGGAGAGGTTGGATCTGGAATTGCATTAGATCGGTTAACTACTCTATCCTGGTGAATGGGAGACCTACGGGAAAAATTCTAGCCTCTAGAGGCCTCCGGCATGGTGATCCTTTGTCCCTTTTCTTGTTTATTATTGTGGTGGATATCCTGAGTAGGCTTATCTCAGTTAGTGTGGAGAAAGGGGCTTTGGAAGCTTTTGAAGTGGGGAGGGAGAAAACTCGTCTCTCTCATCTCTAGTTTGCTAACGATACCTTCTGCTCCGATAATTTTAGGGCGTTTGAGAATCTTAATGGCCTTCTTGGTTTCTTTGAAGCTATTTCAGGTCTGAAGATTAACAGGGGTAAGAGTTCTTTATTGGGCATTAATTGTGAGGATGGTAAACTTAGTGAGTGGGCGACCCTTGTTGGGTGCAATGTTGGCAAGTTTCCCTCATCTCTGTCTTCCTCTTGGTCATAACCCTAAGCTTGCTATCTTTTGGACACCGGTGCTGGAAAAGTTTCAGAAACGCCTCTCTTCGTGGAAGAAGGCTTTTTTTTCGAAAGGTGGGAGACTCACGTTAATTTAGTCTGTTTTGAGAGGCATTCTGAATTACTATCTGTCCCTTTTCAGGATCCCTGTGAAAGTGAGTGAAGGGTTGGTGAAGATTATGAGGGATTTTATTTGGGAAGATGTGGAGGAGGGGGGTGGGGCTCATCTTGTTAATTGGAAAGAGGTGTCCAAGCCTTTGGAAGCGGGAGGGCTGGGTATTGGAAATTTGAGACTTAGGAACGAGGCGTTCCTGGCCAAATGGTTATGGCGGTTCTTCCACAAACCTAACGCCTTGTGGCGAAAGATTATTGTGAGTAAGTATGGGCGACATCCGTTCGATTGGATTCCTGCAGGTGGGTCTAAGGTGAGCAATTTTAATCCCTAGAAACCTATTGTGTTGTGTTTCCCCGTTTTCTCTTTTTCTCTTCGAGTTTCTGTGGGGGAGGGTYTTAATACTTACTTTTGGGAGGATACTTGGGCAGGCGATAAACCCTTGAGTCTTGCGTTCCCTCGGATTTACTTTCTGTCTAACAAGAAACTCTTTTCCGTGGCCGAGGTGTTGAATTTTGGGGAAGAGGATTCGTCCATTTCGCTGGTTCTCTCTCAGGCTTTAACTGATCGGGAATCGTTAGAGGTTGCCGCATTACTTGATCTGTTATCTAGTGTTGTGTTATCTTCTGGGAGGGAAGACGTGAGGGTGTGGATTCCCAACCCCTCGAGAGGTTTTCTTGTAGCTCTTTTTTCCAAGTCCTGATTTCCCTGTCTTCTCTTTCTTCTTCCTCTTCTTCGTCCCCGGTGACCCCTTGGTTTACCTCTCTTTGGAAGATTAAAATTCCAAAGAAGATTAAGTTTTTTGGGTGGCAAGTCTTTCTTGGTAAAGTCAATACCTTGGATCGGATTCAAAGGATGTCTTCCTTTTGCTTGGGCCCGCAGTGGTGTGTTCTGTGTAGGAATGCCGCGGAAGATCTTGAGCATTTATTGTGGTCCTGTCAGTTTGCGCAGGAGTTATGGTGTCGTTTTTTTAGAGGTTTTGGTATTGCTTGGTTTCGCTCCAAAGTTTGCAGGACGATGATGGAGGAAGTGTTGTTATTCTCCCCCCTTTCGTGATAGAGGCCGCTTTCTCTGGCAAGTGTGCTTTTTGGCTTCTTTATAGAGTATCTGGCTGGAGAGGAACAATAGGTTGTTTATGGATGTGGAGAAATTTGTGGATTATGTTTGGGACCTCATTAGGTTTAATACTTCCTTAAGGGGTTCGGGGACTAAGGCCTTTTGTAATTATCCGTTAGGTCTTATTCTTTTGGATTGGAGCCCGTTCTTATAAGGATTCCCTTTGCCGGGCTGTTTTCTTTATGCCCTTTTTGTGTATCTTCTTTTTTCATTTCTCTCAATGAAAGTGCAATTTCTCGTCAAAAAAAAAAACAATTTTGTATGAACTAACAATAAGGTTTGCACCTGCAACTCAGTTGCTCGATAAAGTGTGGTACCCTTCAGCTCCAAAATTTCATTATCAGTAAACCAAAGTGGATTCCCAAATGTCGTAGGAAGAACATCGAGGTACCTAATAATAAATCACTGAGATCTCACCAACCATAAGACACAGAAATAAATGATCATTTTAGATGGACTTTTTATCAGAAAACATAACTTGAGAATGTCAAAGATACATACGGTTTCCATGAAGAATTTTCTCGAAGCCGCTCAACCATGAGGAATAAAATCATCAAAAATCTATCATCTACATCACCTTCTTCATACATTGCTCTACACTCTGGTCCATAAAGAGGATCTTGCAACACTCTCATTGGAGTAATTGCTAAATCTAGTGGAACGACTAATAGAACTCCTGCAAGTAAGAAACTGATTTATATCCTCTTCCCTGAGAAACTGAGAAGTTATCACAAAAGTTACCCTAAAGTACTACTACCAACCAATATGATTCCAAAAGCAAGTTTGGTAGATTTTCTTTTTCAACGAGAAACTAAACTTTCATTGCACAAGGAAATCAAAAAAAGGATTTTCAATTGGTGCATACATACGTCAAGATGTAATTACAAAATGAAATTTCAACCAACAAGCAGCAGTAAGAACTATGTTTTCCCAGGTGGACGCCTCCTTTTCTAAGTGTTGGAATATTCCTCTATTTCTTTCCTTCTACACTTACCAATACCACAAAAAGGCCGCTGAAAAGTTTTCTTCCATGCTGTTACTAGAGCCACCCTGCAGGAACTCAACCACCAACCTCCACTGGAAGAACCAGATTTAAATTGTTTCGTTCCACCAATATCAAGTTGGGTGGATTTCATTTTTATGCAATTTATGTATACATATTACTGTGAGTGTCAGTTAGAATTATTTGCAAGGCACATCTAAGAAGATAAAATAAATTCCAAAATGGTTACTGATAAAAAAAAAATGATAATTGTCAACATAGCAATTCAAGAGGTTCTTGCCGGATATCTAACACTCAAACAACCAAACAACAGCGAAAGCTAAAGAATTTAAGAAGCAATTTGGTTTCGGACTCAAATATCGCCTCATAAATTTACCCGCGTAAATACATTTCATTTTGGATAAACAGAATATATAAAGTTCAGATTACCATCAGGAGCATCGTTAGCAGTAAAAAGTCCACACCCTTTGCTTGAATCGCTGGACTTGATGGTGCAACTTCGAAGTTGTGCTCCATTAACCTGAACTGAATCCCAATTAATGGAAAGCGGAAACGTTCTTATTCATAACTCAGCCACACACCTATATAGACTCGACTTGGCAATAAAATGCTTAATTTTCTGCCATCGTTTTCTTTTGATTCCCTATTTGGAAAGCTAAGCATAAGTTTACCGTCGTTACCTGTAACCACTGGAGGAACAGTTGGAGCTTTGGTTCATCGGAGCTTGCCATTTTCTGATGACTGTCTGTCACTGATTGTTGCGTTTTCGGTGCAAAGGGCATTCCACAAATCCCGTGTTATTTTTCTTGTAGGTTTAATAATTTCTATTTTTCTTTTTTTTTAAGAAAGGTTTAATAACTATTTTAGTTGATGTAGTTTTAGGTTTTGTATTTTTAATTTGGGATGATTTTAGCAAATTTAGTATAGKAAAACTTGCCTCCTGCAACTATTCTTAATTGAAACTCAATTCCTTATACTCCCTTTTCTTTACTAAAAAAAATTATAGACTTATAATTTATGAACATAATTGTGTCCATATATACCTTTAATTTAATGACTCACCATTTAATTTATCACATTTTTATTTTTTTAATAAAAGATTTACAAATTGATATTTTTAAAATAAGCTTTTGAAAGAATAGAGAGATAATCAGAACCTAAAACTACCCTTCATTTGTCGTTAACAAAGTTCAAAAAAAAAATTTATTCTTTATTTAATTAATTTATTTTTTATAGCAATTCTTTATTTGATTTAGAATGAGAATGATCTGAAATAAGTATACAAAAAKTTCTTTGTTAGAAAGAAAAAAAATGATTGATTTTCCTTTTTTGACCTTAAAAAATTATTGAGTTAGACTTTTAATTAAAATTTAAAATATAACAAGGTAAATAAGCAATTTAATCTGCAAAATCCAGTCATTTTAGGTTAGGATTTTTTTTTTTTACTTCTTTTAAGTTAGGAAAATTAGTTACGATATTTCATGTACAAACAACTTAATTTATTGAAA